CCCCAAAACCCCAAAACCCCAAAACCCCAAAACCCCGATATTTATAAGATTAATTGAAAATATCAACTAATTTATAGGATTCAAACAGCTTACTTTCAACATTTCTTTTTCTTTTGTCTCCTATACCATACTCAAACCTTTCTAAAACCCTAAAATACCTTTGATATCCCCTTCCAGTACCTCTCTCTTCATAAAAAATACTGTTATTTGTCTCCATCTCCGATTTTAAAGCTTCCTGTTTCCAAGTTTTCCGGTTTGAATTCCATCTCCCCAGTGATAGGATTCCTTTCAGAATTCCTATCGATAATCTCGCTAATGAGTGTTTTCAAAATCTCTTCAGGGCCCCTATTATACCTACAATTAACAGCCATGCTTACTTAGTCGAAATTCTCTGAGCTCCAATGAATCCATGCTTCTTTGCAAAGAGCTTAAGAAATTTTTCCTGCTGGAATTCTTCTAAAGCCTGGCCAGCCTTTTCAAGGTCTTCCACCAGATCAAACTTATTAGCTGCAATTATGCATGGAACCTCTGAAGTAGAACAGTCAGAGCTTACCTCTATCACTATTGATGTGATTCTTCCAAAAAATAGCATTCTCAAGGGACATCTGGTCTTCTAAAGATAAGAGGATTAACTTACGAATGTCAGTCACACAGATAATACCTGATGCATTTCTACTAAACTGCATAGTCAAGCTGCTACTTCCTTTATCTTGATTAGCAACATCCCAAATCTGCATATACAGAAGATTTCCATTAATATCAATAGTTCTTTGCACAAAATCGGTCATATTTTCCTTTTTCACTATACAATATTAAATCCACAAAAATTAGGGCTCATGCACAAAATGTGAGAGATATCCACAAAATATACAGCACTAAAGACTTACTCCCTGATTGGCTGCCATTATACAGGTTGACAAGTGTACTTTTGCCTCATTCAGAATCTCCGACTATCAAAATCTTGATCATATTTATTTATATTCCCAAAGGGGTTTTGGGGTTTTGGGGTTTTGGGGTTTTGGGG